TTTCGAAACAAATACTTCTATATGAACACTGAATTATACAGAAGATACTTTTCTCTACTCAGTTTGTATTTCAAACATTCGTTGTGGAATAAAAATCAGATATCATTTACATGAGTTCTACTTTAAATGAATGGTAACAAATTGTACTTACATGGAACACTGTCACCCTCACTGGTATACATCGATGTTTCGCCTTAAGACACTTGCCCTAAGGCTCTTCAGTACCAAATTGGATAAAATACACACAATTCATTCATGAATTACGATTTTTTATTGTCACGGAATAAGCTTGATCTGCTTATGTCATCGATGACATCGTAATGACATTCATTCACCTATTTGATTTAATCCCAGCCAAGAGGAATCTTATTTGAATTGAAGTGGTTATATTTTTAGGAGTGAATAATAGAAAGCCAAAAACTTTCTTTCCCAAAAAGGATGATTATGTTTTAGTAATGCTCAATACAAAAAATATCAGCAATAATCATACCTTAAAACTAGCTTCTGATTGGCAAATTTACGAATATTCTGATCATTGCAGAAGACAATCAACCGATTGATATAACAATCATCGATCATATGAATAAAGAAATTGAAAATTACTCAAAAATGAAAAGAAATATTTGTGTCAATTTCTTAGTTGATCTCAAGATCAAAAATGGTAAAAAGTGCAATGCTGATAATATAAGACACTTTATATTCACTCATCAAAATGTTCAAATAGTCCTGAAAAGTGTAAGGCTTTGCGAAAGAAAATAAATTTTTTAGTCAACCTGAAGGATTTGATTGAAATCACATAAACGATAGCCACAACCTTAGTAATAGTAGTAGCAAATCTTGTGTAACTATCGTTTATAGTAATTATTTGAATAGTTTTAATGTTAACTCCCAACCCTGAGTGCAAAAATTAGTAATGTTGAGAAGAATGAATTTACTGTGTCCGAGAGTAATGCTCCGAGCCGTCTCTCATTTTGTCACCAAAACATTCAGTGTATTCCTAATAAGATTGTAATGTTAAACTATATATTTGCTAATGAACAAAAATGTGACATTCTTTTGCTAACAGAACACTGTCAGACTGAGACCCATCTTGACCTGCTGAAGCTGAAAGATTTTAGTATATGTTTCGAGGAATTAATGCTACCATTAATTATTTTGTGAATTAGTGTGAGGTCTGATTCTTCTTATATGAGCCAGAGTATTCAAGTTAAGAATGTCCGATATAATTTTATGATTATATTCATATCAATATGATATCCCAGTTTGTATATAGAGTTTCTTGAAAACTTGTTTTGAACACATTCAAGCATATCAATATCCACATTATATGAAGGGCACCAAATTGTGGAGTTGTATTCGATTATTGATCTAACAATTGAGCAATATATGATTTTTAAGGAAGATAGGAATGATTCCTTTGCAGATCTAAGAGTGAAACCTAACATTTTTAGTGCTCTAGAAATAACATTTGCAATATGGGGTTTGAATGACATTTTCGGGTGATTCCTAAATCTTTGATTGTATTTGTTGTTTCCAATTCCGATTGCTTGATTTTATATGGAATATTTATGGGATTTTTTCTACAGAAAAAAATTAATTTATGACATTTGTACATATTCAGTTGCAATAAGTTTATATCACACCAGTGTACTAAGTTAGATAAATCAAACTAATAAATCAGTATTAGATGACCTAGTAGATATATAATTTGTACAACGACCTATAGGGAACTATGAGAATGAGAGGACATTTTCAATACGTTGATTTTTGTGGTTAAAAATTAAATATTTTCATTAGAAATTATAAGTCAAAAAAGTGTCCAACTGCAAACCTTCCTTTCTAGGTATCAAGGCAGTCACCCCATCTTGCGTGAATACACCCTGTGGTGCGAACAGTTTCAGTCCAACTGCAACACCACACAACAGTCCAGACGCAACATCTTCTTCTTCAAGATGTGGCTCCCCCGAACCATATGAAGAGTTTAGTTTGCATCAACTGCTCACGAGTTCCTTTCCGCAATTCCTCAAAGAAACAATTGGTGGTGGAGCCAAAAAAAAGACACCTCTGAAATATAAGAAACCAGAAATCGAAAAACAGGAGGTAAGAATCTTCCCAATTTTAAAATCTACTTTCAATTCAATAATATTGAAAATTGGAGGCCTGTCGCCTTTAACGAATATTTGCAGTCTTTGTAAAACAATTCCTGAAAAGGAACTTGAATAATTCCAAACAGTAATCTGTTTTTAAACTTTCCCATGAAATGCCATGCTGCTGTAATTCATCTTTTTAGTCCATTGATATCAGTCAGTATGTTCTGTCTCACAAGTGAAGGATTTTAAAGGGTCAATGGGACTTGAATCCGGTGATTCAGGAGGCTATTCGAATATTTTTAATGCACCCTTTTTGATAACTCGGAAGTTGGTATTTGATTTTTATTTCGATGTCAGATCAGCCTATGTTATTCGAACAATTATTATTGTCATTATTGGTGATACCTTCCTTAAACAAACATGCAAAGTGGACTAGCGAGTCATAATATTCGTAATTATCAGTGAACAGTGAGCAAATTTGAAATTTATAACTTCCAACTATTTTTTTGTAATTCATTATTAATCGATAATAACGATCATTGATCAAAAAGAAAGTGGACGGTTCAGGAGACTGTTAGGAAATCAAAGTTGGTGTAAGCTTTTCATTTCCTCAATAATCGTTAACTGTTTGAAAAATGTTTGATATCAAGTATGTTTCAAACAAATCTGTTCAGTTTGAATGTAATGATGCTGTCTATCAAATTGGTTGAGAAGAGGAAGTTATACTAAGAGTTGAGTTGCCAAGGTTGATGTTTTGATAACATGCTATTCTTTCATCAATTGTTGTCCACGATGTTGCTTGTAATGTTCATCAGCTACAGAGTTCACAAAAAACAAGCCCAATTTTTTAAATTTCAAATGCCTCGTTTCCCAGTAAGACTTTATTCTTAGATGAATTCACAATTCTATGGCAATATTTTGTTTGAAACAATAGCTTCAACAAAGAGGCTTTGCTTTCAATGCTTAAATTAAAAATAAAAGATGGTACTGGTAAGTTCCAAATTAAGTGCCAGCGTACTAAACCCATACATTAATTACTGTGGCATCTAGTCTAGTGACAAAATGAATTAGAAATTATGTGTCCCTGTGCCTTCATGTGCTATTGTATATATTTTGTGCTGCATTTGTCTGTTTTATTAGTTCACATGCCACATGTTGAAATTAAAGGTGGGCAGGACTGGTTTTGTGAATCTTGTTGGGTATTCTGCGTTCAATGTGTTGTAAGAAGGCTTTGTTGCTTGTCGAATTTTCATCCCAGATGTAGTGCAGGCTGTTTTGTGACATAATGTGTATTGCAAAATTTTTCAGTAAGTTATTAGGTGGTTATGTGTATCCTGTTTGCAGGCTGTTTTGTGACATAATGTGTATTGTGAAATTTTTAAGTAAGTTATTAGGTGGTTATGTGTATCCTGAAGTTCGTTTGTGTTCCCAAAGAAGTTGAGACAGAGTTACGATTTTTCGTTGTATTTCAGAATGATTAAGAAGATAATTAACCAAGTTAGCTCAAAAATGAAGATGACAGAGGAGATCAAGAAAATGTTTTCGATGATAAAATACGTCATTGTTATATAATATATTCTTATATTGAGATTTGAGCCTGTTTTGACTTGTTTATGTATGTTACATATTTAAAACAGTGTTGTATGTTTAATTATGTATTTGATTTGTATTAAACTTTTTAATAAAAATTACCTGTCTAGTATTCTAATTTTTTTTAATCATTTGTATTTGATCTTTGTGCATGGTTAATGTATTGGGTAATGTATAATATGAGATGTGTGTTAATTTTTGGGATTATATAAATAAGTCACTTGGCAAGTTAAAATTCGTTTTCAGTAGACATAAAGTTCTTAAAAATATATATATTGGATTAAAAATAATATGTATAAATTTTTTTTAAGGATTTCACAGTACAAAATAAATTGCAATTGGTAAGTAAGGGGCAAAACACGCATTTAGTTTCTCGTTAATAAATAACTCAACTTAAAAAAGGAAAATATTCAGAAATGAAAGGAAATTTATAGTGAAATAGTCCCAACTCTCGGAACTTAACCTCTATATTGGATCCACGAATAGAAGTACAGGTACCCGGTTCTCGTTTCCGCAATTGTGTTACAATGAAAAGGTGTCTAAATATGGTTACCCTTGACACTTCAGTATCTTCAAGTAAATAGTACTTATATACTCATATAGTGAAATTATTGAATTATTTATCACCTCCTTGTTTGTATAGAAATGTTTGAAATTCAAGCATTAATTATTCATCAGAAATCTCCGATAGTTTCGGGGTGAGATTGGCCTAGAGAACTCTTTCTAGGTGCACGTATCATAAACTAAGTTGAATAAGAAGCAAAAAAATTCAGGTGGTAGGGAGGAAATGGAGGTTAATAACATCTAGAGAATATAAAAAACCCAACACAACCGGCTTCATTCAATATTTACAGTTCTCATCAAATATCATTTATTCAGGAAACTCTCGTTCAACCACTGTTGACGGCACAAAAACAATGACATGTATTAACCAGAACAAAATCCGGGCATCAATGACATGTATGTTGGGAATATAAAGATGTTCCTGTAAAACTAAATTAACTGCTGTATCAATTCGACTCCCTAGATTAATAAGGTAAAAGAAGATTAATCTGTCCAGATTTCTTTGACGAATTAAGGCATTTTCAGAAATATCAGACAAAGTATTTTTTGTCGATGTTGGGTATGCCTTTTTACTAATAAACAGTTTTGTTTTTTTTGTTGAAAGAAATATTTGGTGGAATTTCAGGGTTGGCGATGAGAAGATTAGGCAGTTTCACAAAACTATACTAAATCAAAATTGTTATCAGAGAGTGAAATATCTGCAGATTATGTAATTTAAGGGCGTACTCATAGTCTTGTGTGACATTTCTGTCTACTCTGCCAATATTCGTGAGAAACTAGTTTCCAAAAATCATTTGACATTTTTGAGTATACCATTTTCACAGATTCACATTGTTTCTTTTTATCACTCATTGGGAATGGTTTCATTTTCATTAAAATAACAATCTCTGTGCATTCAATAGATTTCGGTAATTTTATTCTCAATATATCATTTCAAAAATAAAGCGGTTTCTTTGCCTTGAAGAGTTGTTGTGAGTTGCATGTAATAAAGGTTTAAAGAAAATAGTAGTTATGAATTATTCTTTTTCGATAAAAAGTTATAAATAATTGATAATTAGTTTTCAGAATGTCCCATACGTTTCAATCACCCTCAAGATTTCGTGGTGTTTGTATAAAAATCATTCCAAGTGATAAAAAAGTACCTACTTATGTAAAAATAAACCACCTAGTAACTTAAAGAGTAAAATCTCCATTTTTAGCTGTAGCACATTTTTCATTAATGGTGTGAAATGGTTTGCTATTTGTTTCATGGGGGTTGAATTCCGTATACTGCAAATATTCGTTAAAACTGACTTCCTGGAAAATACAATTGACTCGTCTTTCTGATTTTAAATGTTATGTATTTCAAGGATAATATTGAGGGTGATGAGTTTTCAAGTCGATCTTCTCTGTTTTGATATATAGAATTGGAACCTTCAACACTCTTCTGAAGGCTTATTTATATCCAAGGGAATGAACCCCCACTATTGCTTTTGGTCATGCATTAATGATTTCACGATTATAAATTACCTTGGAAATTTTCATTCAATTTTCGACAGAATAGTTCATAAAAATGCAAATGTTCGGAATGAGATCTTTATCACAATTTCATAGTTCTTGTGCCTCTCTTTGCTATTTCCATACATTTAAAAGCATCCAAAAGTCTACTATCACGTTATGGTTTCAACAATTTTAATCCATATGTTCATTTATTCCAAGGTGTGCGACAATAGACTTTTATGGTCTTCGAGATTGATTCTGCGCCGTATGTTCTTTGAAACGAGTTTTTAAAAGTCATTTAGTGTGACTTACATACCTTTTGTCAGAGTTCTCATAGCTCATTTCATGCACCCCTTACTTTTCGGTTTCGATCATCTTGTCTGTAGGGCTTGCCAACACTTGAAGTGAACAAACTGTTTTGAAGGCTACTTTTATGTTCACTTTTTGGAAATTTGATCCAACTCACTAGTGTGTCTTGGATTACAAGGAATAACAGTTAATTCAACTGAAGAAGCTATTGTGTAGTACAAAACGCGTTTTGAGTGAAGTTCATAATGTGAAAATTGATTATTATCATGGAGCATCTCAACGCCGAGTATTTACAAAGACACTATAAATTTTTATTATCTAATCAATTTACAAACTATATTTATAGTATACTCATTGTTTGTCCCTGATAACATAATTCTCAATAGGATATATTTCTCTGCTGATGGAAAATGTAACAAACCTACTTATAGTATAGGAAACCAGATATTTTGGCTGACTGGACTGTGAACAGCCACGATTCTCCTTGGGTCGTTCGGAGAAGTTATTGGTATAGCTTGCTCAGATCACGAGGTTACTTACCATAGTATATGATACTATAACATCGAAGAAAAAAATTCTGAGAACTTTTACCATTGTCCAAATAAAAAATGTCGGGAATACACTTTTTTGTCCATAGGTTTGTTATGTTTCTCTTAAATAAAAAAGATACAAGAATTATGTTATCAAAGACATAGCTGAAAGCAAAGGGTAGTTGTAGTAATAATAGCTTGGATCAAATTTTCAAAAATGAACATCCAGGTATTTTTTCACTCTAACAAGTGTAGGAAAATCTAAATATGAGATAATGGAAACCAAAAATCGGAAATTTATGACATGAGCTGTGAATAAAAACTACAAGTAGGTATATTGGTTAGACTAAATGAGCTATTAGAATTTGTTTGAAAAACATGCAGCTCATATCTGGAGACCAAAAAAGTCTAGTTGAAGGAAAATTGCTTTGAATTGTAGAGATCGGCACATGACAAATGATTATTGAAAACACTTTTTGTACACCAGAACAAAATCTCAACCTGTGTTTCGCTATCTAAGCATCATCAGATGATGCAAAGTATTATGTTATGACGAGGTAAAAGCGTTTCTAATAGAATTGTTTCCACTTTTGTGAACCACCCTGCCTAACATTAGGGGAAAATTTTCCGGGAAATTTCCCACCAATTTGTACTCCAAAAAAGTTATATTTGATGATTTAGTACAGTTTATCTCCTGATGACGCCAGATTGATTTGTGAAAATTGCGAGGATTGAGAAAATTGTTAGGACACTTCATCATATTCATTCATTTCTTTTTTTTTGCAGAGCCTTGTGGGTAGGATTGAAAAACTGGGAATAAGTAATCTGATGAATAATCCGAGTGCATTATACACCAGGACAGCGATGACCAGTCCTATGACACAGCTAACTTGTCTTTTGCTTAGTCATAGCTGTGATAATATTTCTCATATTGATAAAAATGTAGCACATAGTCCTTCAGCAATATCAGGTATTATCGTAATCAAACACATGTATCAACAAACTTCATGAATTTCATTTATTTCAGTAGGTACAAAACCGAAAACTAGTTTAGGGATTCCGGGAAAGCCTGGAAGCGGAGAACTCAATAGTCGGCTTGGGCAATTGAATGCAAGGAAACAACGAAGACAACAGCAAGGATCTGGAAAAACACGGCCTGATTTGGGAACTGTTTCTATCAAAAAAACTCCGGATTGTCCAGAACCGTCATCTACTTTTGGGACTCTCAGTTCATTGTTATTTGGTAGAAAAGGAGGCTTGTTTTAGGGGAGAGCCAAGTATTAAACCGTCAGTCCAGTTGACAGTATTTTTGTAGATAGAGAATTTGTTTAGAACCCATTTATTTAAATATACAATAAATAATGTTTCAGCGATGTTGTCTAATAATTGCAGTATCCTTTTCCATTGATGTTGATGAAGAAATTCATTTAGAAACCAATTGTTTCTATACTATAATTCCAAAATAGCAGGCACTAAATTCTCAGAAATGACTGAAGTTTTAGCCTCAATCTGTCTCTTGCGTACGGAAACTATACTAAACAGATGACGAAAAATGATGATAAATTATATACAGGGCTATTCAAATTCGTTTCTGTACATGGGGATCTTGTAAACGATAAGAGATAGACTGTCGGTTAAATTGTGGCAAAGTTGCGCATTTCAAAGACCTATTCAATGATGTAAAAAAATTGAATATAGCTCTTCTGGTTCTGGAGATATACAGGAAAAACCAAAAAATCCTAAATAATTTTTTTGCCTATATCTTCTTTACTGTGGGCTATCAGAATATGTTCATGAATCTTTTATACAGGGTGTCATTTGACTTGGGCTACCCCTATCTTTGAATTTTTAAATACGGACCTGTATTTTTTGTTGTAGTTTTTGGATCGTAGACGTTCACTTCATACTGAGAAATCAAATTCAATTTTATATTTCGGGATGTTTCGGTAGTATTTGATTATAATTGTTTGAATTATTCCCTTTTGAATTACGGCCCTGGAAATTTGTTGACTGAGTTGAATAAAAGCACAATAGCAACTTTCACGTCTCCTTATGAATTTTTTTCATTTTTAGGTATCTATTCATATTTTTTCCATTGCTCTGAGCGTTTTCTTCAATGAACTTCGAATAAGAAAACCTCTTATCTGAAACATATCTACATCAAAAATATATACTGAAATATAAAATAAAATTTAATTTCTCAGTATAAAGTGAACGTCTACGATCCAAAAACTACAACAAAAAATACAGGTCCGTATTTAAAAATGCAAAGATGGGGGTGGCCCAAGTCAGATGGTACTTTATATAAAAGATTCATGAACATATTCTGATAGCTCACATCAAGTGCCAATAGCAAATTGTGGACAGATTTTCAATATGTCTGCGAATGAAGAAGATATAGGCAAAAAAATAATTTGGGATTTTTTGGTTTTTCTTGAACTATATTCGATTTTCACCTCGTATACTTCCACATTTTTTGAAACCTGAAAATTCTAATGTGAGTTTATGTGATACATCGTATACAAAAAATGAACCGCTCTCCAGATATTTGTTTACTCAAATAAATAAACTAGGTATTCGGCTCTTAAGTGATTCCCTTATAAAATTCGAAAGTTTGATAGAATACATAAATACATACATAGATCATTGCCACATTCATGCACCCTGCTTGGTAGGTGAAACTTCAAGCTCATAGAAAATCCAAGAGAGACTAATAGAGGGGTTGCGATGACCGGAACTTCTACTTTAAAAATTGAGTGTAATTCTCAGAGGAAGTCTGGTCCTGGGATATGTACCGAAAATATGGATATATGTATATATACCCAATATGCAACAGGTAAGGCTTTATGCCGGTCACGGAAAAAGCAGAATAAGTACTTTTGGCAATCATCCAAGCGTCAAGAGGAGAAGAAGGATTAACGACACAAGCCGCAGGTGGATAAATTGTATGTTTAGAACAAGATTAGTAAACATGATTATTATAGGAGAGTTAGTAGTATTAAGACTAAGGCTTGCAAGAGACTGTCCTCAGAAGAGAGTTTTGTCTCTACCGTTATAAAACCTGGTAATTAACGAGGTATTAGGTATTCTGTACCATAATGGATACAGAGTACTGGGCTATGCATGCGACTTAGTTATCCTAGTCAATGAAAAATACAATGAAATACTGAGGGGGAAGCATGCAGCAGCTTCTGAATATGAAAACCTGACAGAGTGAGGAAGAACAGCTGAATATAAGCCCAACGAAATTGACCTCTGAAACTTCGAGGCGGAGAAATGCTGAACTGAAACCAACATCCAGAAAATGTAAAAAAAAAAGTAGAGGTGGCACTGAAGCTGATCAAACTCGCATATGGAAAGCCTTGGGATCTGAAATCAGTCATGATGTACTGACTCTACACCATGGTGGTTAAACCCATGATAACATATGAATCTAAGGTCTGGTGGCCATAGAACAACCAAACGATTGCTATCAACAAACTAGACAGGCTGTAATGACTTGCATATTTCGAAATAACGGGAGCAACAGAAACAGTCCAAACGGTTGCATTGAAGACACTCTTGGAATCTTCCTCTTTTATATATTGTAACGACAGGAGAACCAAGACTGGGCGAATCCAAACTGGAAAACTCGCCGACCTACATGGGCAATATAGAAATTTTGGATTATAATAACATATTCATAGATCGCATGACAACGAAATACATATTCGACATAAATTACACCGTTAAAGTCTAATATCATGAAGAGTGGAGAATGAACAGTTATCCCGAGAACACGCTCAATAAAAACACCTGTTTATAGACAGGCCGAAAACCAAACATGGGCCGTTCAATACGTGCGGAAAAATATTCATTTCAGTTACCCGCCCGGTCTGTACATATCCGTAATCCACGCTGAAGAGTATGTCTAAGGATTTATACACAATGTCCTGAGTATCATGGGCAAAGAAAAACAGTCGAGTGTGCCAGACAGGGATCTTCAACTTCATATATAGGCCCAGAAATACCTGTGAGGATACCAAAATCCCTTCAGGCTGCAGTGTTTTCCAAAGAAAGTAACAAGTCAGACGGCTTCCAGGAAGTGAAAAAACCGTCCTTACACCTACTGTGCCAAGTACAAAGTGCTCATGCGACACACTGATCATAATTCATATTTCACAGTTATAAGTGTAAATTCACAGTTGCAAACATGATTTGTGAATAAATAATATAGTTCTTCATATTTTTCCTGCCTCTGAGCATAGAAATGCATTTGAAGTATCAAATACATTTCAAGTATCATTTGATGTATGCATGATGAAGTATGCATTTGAAGTATCAAATACATTTCAGGTAAACGTTTTGCCGAATTTTTGTTTTTCCAGGCCAATTCACGTTAAATTGACCATTAGATTTATTTTGTAACACATTGTTTTTTGAGTTGGTTACTATTAGTGTCAGTTGTCACCTTAATAATTCCATTCAAAAAGCTTTCGGATTATCTCCTCAGAGTAATAAAAAATTATCTCAGTAAACAATCTTCAAATAAAACTCAATAATAGACAAAACTCTACTATCACCAGCGCCATATGACAACTGTTCTTATACCTAATGACAATCGTATAATCAAAGATGTCAAAGATATAATGTTTGTGACAACAGGTAAACATATATAGGTGACAGGTTTCGAACAATTGAACAACCTAAAAAGTAAAATTCCCTAGGATTTTTTTGTCCAAATCAACTTCAATACTTCGATTCATATATCCGGGAACAGCCAGGACTCTATAAAATTACAAATTCTACCTGTTCCGACTTTGAATTATTCCAAAAAAGGCCTAGAAAATGTCAGTCGGCTTAGACCCGAAAATTTTATAGTGGCAACACTGAATAGGGGTACTGGAATCGTCCATTAATTTTTTGTATGGTTAGCTGCCGATTATGTTGACTACCAAAAAAAGTTTCTTGGTATCATATTCTTAATCTTATAAACTAGAAACACATTTATCATAAAAAAATAATTTTGAAAGTTAATAAAATGTTTTTAGTGTGGGCACACTTAAAATAAGTGTTATTTCGCAATACCTGATTTATATAAAAAAAATAATATACATATTTTCATAGCTGAAGTATACACAGTTTTCTTTGGAACTTGTGTTCTGTACAACAACATGAATCAGGAACAAATTTTATTTTCTCATTACATTGTGAGACAGAGCACACCAATAGATCATGTGTTCTCTGACCATGACCATAAATCTTTTTGTTTTTTTTTTCCACAAATAGTAATAGATTACAAGTTATTCTTCCAATTGTACATAACGACGTAATAGACACTGTGAAATGTATACTATACGTAGAATAGAGTTCACTGAATATACATGACCCAAAAGTAATGGATCTATTCCTATAGTAATTACATATGCCAGACTGAAACACATGTGTAAGCACAAAATAGTACATTGGAATGTTTGTTATGAGATTGGAATGGAGTTGTAGTGGATTATTATAAAAGTTTCAAAAGGATCAATAAACGAACAAAAAGTGGAGGTATATTTTTGATTGTAAAAATAATAAACTGAGGTTATGTTTGAGACAAAATGTCATTCAATATAAATAGAAAAATAAAGTATAAATGTACCTATGGTGTATGCCTGACACTTGTTCGAAAGTTCAGATTAACTTCATTCTGTATGATTTCAGTAAAAATTACTAAAACTACATTAAAATGTTTGGAGGTGATGGTGAAATCAGTGTCACTGGAATGTTTCTGCATTTTGAGGCGTCGTCTATTGGATTTTTTTTTGACGTTGGAGGTACCCATACTCTATGCCCTAAGGGATAACACAGACCTCTGAAGATGAGTGTCTCTTCTGTGTGGTATTTTGTGGTGTACGTAAACATCAGTGGCAACACTGATGTTCCTAAATTTTTTATGTTGTAATGTTGTCAGTATTAGTTGTCAATGGTCATTTATTCAGTGTGGTAATTTTCGAATGATTTGTTTATACTTCTTAGTTGTTTTAGAAGGGAATAAAAAAGTTGAAAATCATGGGTGAACCTTCTCACAGCAGATTTGAAAAATCTTTGGGTTTATTGACTACGAAATTTGTTGCACTATTACAGGCGTCTTCTGGTGGAGTATTGGATTTGAAAGTGGTAAGTGTAAATTCATGGCACCTAAATATTTTTTAAGGTTTCCAAATTACTTTCAGGCTGCAGATTTATTGGCAGTTCGACAGAAACGAAGAATTTACGATATTACAAACGTTTTGGAAGGCATAGGCTTGATTGAAAAGAAGAGTAAGAACAGTATTCAATGGAAGTGTGTACCTAATAAGATTTTTACAAAAACTCATATAATACAATTCACTTTTATTTCAGACCATATGCATGCAAGCATTTACCAGGAACAAACTCACAAGAATATTCATTTAAGGTTTCTGAATTGAAGAAAGAGTTGACAAAATTGAATGATTATGAACAGGAGTTGGATTTACATACACTACGAATTGAACAAAGTATTCGTAATACTACAGAAGATGTAGAAGCCAAAAAGTATCTTTATCTCACAAGTGAGGACTTCTTGAATGTATATGACAATGTAAATACTGTTATGGTTATAAATACACCTGTGGATAAGAGCCACATTAATTTACAAGTAAGTAATTAAAAGTTTAATTACATACATGAATTCCAAAATACCTACTTGATATTTCTTACTAACTGTATGCTCATTCATTCATTCGTATCAGTGTTGATACTTTTATTTTCTGATATCCAGGAAGAAACTTCAACTTGCTTCATTTCTACTTCCTATTGTTAGCCCTTTCCTTGAACAAATGTAGGCATCCTTTAGATATAATAAAAAATCAAATATATAAACAGCTACCGGACTGAGTCATGGCAGGTGGGAGAAATCGTATCTGCGTATAGTTTGGGACAACAAAGAAAGTATTAGGAAAAAAAGAATAGAAACTTTTGTATGCAATTTTATGTCACTGGATTTGTTTCTTGTTCCATATATATCTCACTTTTCATGGAAACACCCCTATATCTTCCGTAATAATCGAGGTAGAAAGATGAAACTCTCAGGACTGATGGAAATACTCAAAATCCACATACCACCTGAATGGGGTTGGCCAAATTGATATACACTGCCCGCCACTCGCGATGGAACAACCCATTTTTATGGTTAAACACACAAGGGGGCAAAATAGGCTGCAAATTCCTTCAGATTCGTGATCAGGACTACCAACTTACTATGAATACACTTTTTTATTCCTGAAAAAATTTCATTCCTGAAAAATCCGAATTTGTCTCACTTCTCATGGAAACACCCCCATATCTTCCGTAATTGTTGAAGTAGATATTTTTTTGGTTTTGGCATGAAAACATAAACCCATCGTAGAAAATCAGAATTTTCACATTAAAAAACAATTGCCAAGAGAAACTTGACTTTTGTTTTCACATAATAATTTATTTTTTATTTTAATGTATTTGTAGTAAGTTGGTAGTCCTGATCACGAATCTGAAGGAATTTTGAGACAGAAACAGTGTGTTAGTATAAGATCTTTCATCTTGAAAAAAATGTTGTGCAGTTATTGGGTAAATGATTATATAATGCAATATGTAGGGTATTTCGTTTCAATATATAGTTCAATATAAGTTAATCTGCCGACTTAGTGGGGTAACTATGGAGGGTACTGGCAAAATTTATTCTTTTTTGAAAATTGGAAAGCACCATCCTCATATTTGTAGATTATAGAGCGTTGGATACTATAGATACAGTTTTATTGTGCAAAAAGTTGAAATATTTTGATTCCTTGATATCAGCAGCAGTTATTTGACTAGTCGAACTCAAACTCTTACACAGTAAGGTAAGTATTAGTAGTAGTAAGGTAGATAAGGAGATGTAGGAATAAAACTAAGAACAGAATTTTGAGGTATGTTGTCTGATGGACTCATTGCTGAGAATGGGCTAGTTTCATGCTATTTAAAATGATCTTTGTTTGCTTATAGAGTGATCAAGTCCCAAGATCTCTTTATATTTGCAGAAAAAAGAAGAATTAGAGAGGCAAGAGTTTAAATTGGTCGCATGTCTGTTGACCAATAAAATTGATCGTGTCTACAGTGGTGTTGCCAAGTGTTTTTTTTTTATATATCCAATCACAGAACTGAAATATAGTGATTCAATTTGACAGACGCCATTTTTGTTGATATTGTTGTCAACTCTGTGTGAATACAACTATTATAATCGAATTTGTTCGTTATAATTTTCTAATTGAAGATCGTTTTCTCTCATATTTGAATCTGAAATGAATATTATTTTTTATGTATAAACTTATATACCAACTATAAATTGTTGTAATAAAAACTTTAATCCTGTTTGCTACATTTTTTGATTTTCATAACTGAATATTATTAATTATGTATACAATCATAGTTTGGGTAAATATTTTGTGATCTTTCAATTTTGTGTACTGATTTTAGATATAGAAAAGTTATTTTTTCAGTCATGGTTTTCATATACATTTCATTTCACTGTTTTCATTAATTTAGTTCATTAGTTAATTAGTTCATATACACTTCCATTATTAACATTTCTGTGATATCAACATGAAAATGTCTACTGCCGGAGATAATTAAAAAATAACGTGTTTATTGAGTTTTGTGTTATTTGGATCCCATGTATAATTAAATATCCCTTCCAATGCATTTCTTGCACTTGTTTCGTAGATTCAGTTGTCAAAACTGAGTGATTTTACTTTGAATCACAACTGAATCAAAAAGTGTTTATAAGCTCCATGAGTTTTACGATTTGGCCTTGTTAATTATTTATATTGTTCCTATTAGTCAATCGAACAAGAAGAAGTAGTCTAGGCAGTCTTGCTCTGGTCTTCATAGGTACAGAAACATATATTAAGCACAATATAGACTTAAATTCAATAAGCGTTTCACTACAGCAGTTGATTGTTCTGTTTAATTAGTAGTCTACTTATCTTTTCTGATGCCTTTCCTGTGTATGTCACTGTTTTGAAAGTATTAGTAATACACTCTTTGAAAGACTTCTTACTGTTGTTCAATGATAAATAAGTAAATACTTAACTATTTGATTAGAATCCTTGAGAGTGATATAGAAAGTTTGAACCCTGTTGAATCTTAGATTTAATAAATAAAATAGAGCAATTAGACAAAAATGAACACTGACGGGGTTTTATAAATCTATTTAACCTTTGATTGAACATAATTCGTAAAATAATGAAAAGGAAAGGTCTATTTTATGAAATATAAATTCATGTGTTTTGTTTGATTGTTAATATACTCAAAATTTTAATCCTGTTTCAGAAGTTGAATGAATCATTTCAAGTGAAAATTTCCTCATCCACGACTCCTATTGTTACTAGCCTTTTATGTGATTCATATGAAGACACCACAAAGAAAAAATATCCTTTGAAACGAAAGAATCAGGTAATTAATTATATTTTATCATATTACCAAGAATTTACCTTTTAACTTATTTCTGAATATGCATCACCATAAAATCTGATAAATCATTCAAATGCCTTTAAAGATTGTATGAAAATTATTCATGAATACCTTCTTTGCATCACATTTTAGAATAAAATGGAAGATGATGAGCCCGACATGAAGAAACCTCGTTTTATTTATAATGGAGAAGATCCTGATTTGATTACTGCAGGCATATTATTTAGGAAACATGGTTCCTCAGTTTTCAATGGAGATTTCTATGATGATAGTAATGAAAGTATGATCACTTCAAACTTGAAATTTTCAGTTCTCTACATATTTATTTTTTTCACAGGTCCTTTTATACATCTCAATTCATTCCCTATTAACCAAGACTACAATTTTGGACTTGCAGAATTGGAAGGTGCCGTTGATTTATTCGATGTGAATGATAGTTATCCTCCAACTGATACCAGTTTGTGACCAGCAAAATCAATTTATATTACATTTTCATACATCTGTTAAGTTTTATATTAATTTTTTCTCTGTAAAATAGTTTTTCATTTAATTTTTGATATAAATATATGAAAGCATTTGTTATAGTTTTTGTATATTATTTACGCTTACTTACATTTAGAGTGGTAATAGCCACTGTTTATACACAAGATCAAGTGAATCTAGGAGTCACTTGAACATTTCACATATAAGTTGACCAAGAATTGCAGCAAATCCGCAGCTTTCTTTCAATGATCTAGAGCAGGGGTCTCCAAACTTTGAAGCCTTCAGGCCATATTGATTTTTTCAGTTTGCTCCAAGGGCCAATTTCTGCCCTTAACTATATTTCTAGACTAGGATAGTCGCAAAGTGCGTGACCTAAGCAAACTTACGCTTTTTTTGCATTTCAATTATTATTGTGTATTGTGACACTTAACGACATCTAGTGGCGAGTAGTGGTACTATGTACTATCTTTTTCAGCTACCC